GGGGATCAAGGTCAAAGCTCAAACAAATACAACAGTATCTAAATGCCAAAGCCTCTAATTATTCTGTGACTATTACTGACGTTGTAATTCTGAGGGTTTGAAAGGGAGAGGGACCTGAAAGTCCAGCTGGATTTACTGCTGCCCAGACCACTTCCAAAGCTCTTTACTTCGGGAGGCTCCTTTCACATTAGATGTTTGTCTGATAACTTGGTATGGAGGATTAAATAGAATTTCCAGATTTAGATGTGCTAGCCTCAGCCTGTCATAATGGAAGCCTTTATCTTTCATGACTGGGCGCCAGGAGCCAACACTTTGTCTTACACAAGTTGTGAAATGCCTTTGGAACCTACCTAATTAGCTGCTCATAAAGATTATTTGAAGGCTATGTCTTGGATTTTGTCCTCACTCGAGACCTGTCCATTTCTGTCCAGCTCTGCTTGGACGGCATGAGGTCAGAGCATTTGCTTCCGTGGTGGCCACTATCAGAATATGCTGCTTAATTTCATTACTGTTATGAAATGTTTGGACATCTGTCATCAGATATTATTGTTCTAATAATTGGATGACCCATTGGGGGAATAATCCAGGGGGAGTTTAAATAAGCCAGTGGAAGGAAGAGAATGTGTCTGCACGCCTTGCCAGGTGAAAGCACATGGGCCTGAATGGATCCTGAAGAGAAGACATTAGCCATATCCAGTGTCACAGACCAAGTGCCAGTAGTGGCAACAATTCAGTCACTAATGCTCAGTGCTGATGGATTGGCCGCTTTTTTACTGAAACTTCAACAGCCCACAAGGATTTGACAAGCACTACTATCTTTTTCCACCTTCCAGATGGGGCTGTGAAACTGAGAACAGCATTGTAGAAATCCTTGAAGGAGGAGAGTACCTTCTTCTCGCCTGGATGGGGCACTGTTCCAATCCCCTGACAGGCGCAGGCTCTGGAATATAGGCAGTTCCCCTTCACGCTTCCTGCTGAATTTATGGATGCGACTCCATGGGACCATGAGTGCGTCCAGCCAGCACATCACAGCATCGCACCTGCTCAGACAGTTCTCAATGGGCGTACTGACCATGACGTCCAGTGAGGGACCGGCCATTGACTCCGGACAAAATATTCAGAAGCCCTCATGTGAATTTCAGCCTCAGGGGATGGGTTCCAGTCCCTTTATCCATATGCCAGAGCCACACAACTCTACGTGAGGGGACTTCTGGGGAGAACCCTTGTCCCCTAACCTTGTCATAAACATAAGCTGCATTCTCAGGCTCGTGGGGTTTCCTCCCTTCAGGGTCTGCATCAGTACTGAAGACCTATCATTCTACCAGGGTTAGCCCAAGAATCAGAGCCAAAGGGACTGCAATTGGGAGAGGCCAGAGGCCCAGTGAATCGAACATGAAATACTGCATTTCCAGCTCTCAAGAAAGTTGATAATAAATGTATAACTTATTCGGAATATTTGTCAACGTTTACCATCTACCATGTAATGTAATGCAGTGATACCACTGGCCATGTGAAAAGCAGAAAACACAAAGCTAAACTGGTGTTACAGCTGAATGTTTGAGTGCCCCCAAAACTCCTGTTGACACCCTAACCCCCACGGTGAGGCATTAGGAGGCGGGCCTTTGGGAGGTGAGCAGGTCCAGGTGAGGCGAGGAAGGTGAAGCCTGTGATGGGATTAGTGTCCTCATCCGAGGAAGAGACTAGAGCGCTCGCTCCACCACGTGAGGGTACAGCAAGGCCGCTGTATGCAGACCAGGGAGAGGGCTCCACAGACACCCACTCTGCCCGCACCCTGATCTCGGACCTCGCGCTCTCCAAAACTGTGAGAAGGAAATGTTTGTTGTTCACTATGGGATCTTGTTACAGCAGCCCGAACAGACGAAGACAGTTGGCGTGAACATCTTGAAATAATTGCTAATTTTTGAAGTAGAAGATTGTGTCTAAAGATTACGATTTAATTTGTGCAGTGCAGAAGGTCTATTTGCCTATCACTATGACACGGTTCAGATCCCAGGTGCAGACCTACACACCATTCATCAAGCCGTGCTATGCTGGCATCCCACATACAAAATAGAGGAAGATTGGCACAGATGTTAATTCAGTGACAATCTTCCTCAAGCAAAAAGAGGAAGACTGGCAACACATGTTAGCTCAGGGCCAATCTTCCTCACTAAAAAAGAAAAATAAACCTGTTCATTAGCAGTTAATCTCCGTTTCCTCCCAGCCCTGGGCAACCATGAATCTATTTACTGTCTCTAACAGATTTGTCTATTCCAGACATTTCATGTAAATCAAAATCATACAACACAAGGCCTTTTGTGACTGGCTTCTTTCACTTAGCACAATGTTTTCAAGGTTTGTGCACATTGTGGATGTTTCATTACCTCATTCCCTTTTTCTTTTTCTGCTTTTCCCCCCCAAATCCCCCCAGTACATAGTTGTATATTCTAGTTGTGGATCCTTCTAGTTGTGGCATGTGGGACGCCGCCTCAGTGTGGCCTGATGAGCGGTGCCATGTCCATGCCCAGGATCCGAACCCGTGAAACCCTGGGCCACCACAGCAGGGCGTGTGAACTTGCCACTTGGCCACGGGGGCGGCCCCACCTCGTTCCTTTTTACCGCTGAAAGTATTCCATTGTATGAATATACCACTTTTTATTTACCCCTTCACCAGATGATGGACATTTGGGCTGCTCCCGCTTTTTGGCTATTACGGATAAGGCTGCTATGAACCTTCATGTACACGTTTCTGTGTGGACGTGTTGTCGTTTCTCTTAGGTATATACCTAAGGGGTGGAACTGCTGAGTCATACGGTAACTCACGTTTTATCTTCTGAGGAAGTGCCGGACTGTTTTCCAGAGTGGCTGCACCATTTCACACGCCCACCAGCAGAGTATGAAGGTTCCAATTTCTCATCAACACTTCTCGTTGTCTTTTGTTACTATAGCCAGCCTAGTGGGTGCCAACTGGTATCACTGTGGGTTGATTTACTTTTCCCTGATGGGTAATGATGCTGAGCAGCTTTTCACGTGTTTCTTGGCCATATGTATATCTTCTTTAGAGAAAGGTCTATTCCAATCCTTTGCCTGTTTCTAAATTGGGTTTTCTATTTTTTATTATTGAATTGTAAGAGTTCTTTGTATATTCTGGGTATAAGTTCCTTACGAGATATGTGATTTGCAAATATTCTCTCCCATTCTGTGGGCTGTCGTTACACTTCTTGACGGTGTCCTTTGAAGCAGAGACATTTTAAATTTTGATAATGTCCAATATCTCTATTTTTTCTTTTGTTGTTTGTGCTTTTGCTGTCACATCTGAGAAACCATTGTCTAACTCAACATCATGAAGATTTACTCCTGTATTTTAAGCTCTTTATAGTTTCAGGTTTTACATTGAGGTCTGCAATCCATTGAGCTAACTTTTTTTTGTTTTAGATTGTGTTTTTCCTTTTTCTCCCCAAATCCTCCCAGTACATAGTTGTGTATTTTTAGTTGTGGGTCCTTCTAGTTGTGGCATGTGGGACGCCACCTCAGCATGGCTTGATGAGTGGTGCTAGGTCCGTGCCCAGGATCCGAACCAGCGAAACTCTGGCCCTCCGAAGCAGAGCACACGAACTTAACCACCCGACCATAGGGCTGGCCCCCTGTAGTAAGTTTTGAAATTAGAAATTAGCGGACTTAGTATTCTTTTCTTTTTTTTTTTTTTGGGAGGAAGATTAGCCCTGAGCTAACATCCATTGCCAATCTTCCCTTTTTGCTTGAGGAAGATTGTCCCTGAGCTAACATCTGTGCACATCTTCCTCTACTTTGCATGTGGGACACCCCCACAGCATGGCTGATGAGTGGAGTAGGTTCACACCTGGCATCCAAACCCACAAACCCCAGGCCTGCAAAGTGAGGCACATGGAACTTTAACCACTCAGCCATGGGGCTGGCCCTCAGGACTTATTAATTAATCAAGATTCTTTGGGGTATTCTGTGTCCTCTGAATTTCCATATGAATTTTAGGATGAGTTCATCAATTTGTGTTATAGAACAAAAAACAGAAAAACCAGCCAGGATTTTCATAGGGTTTGCATTGAATGTTTAGATTAATTTGGGGATTGTGTCATTTTAAGCAACTCAAGTTTTGGGTGGTCTGCTGTGCAATAACGAATACACCACCCCACTTAGGGGAAGCTTCCATTGTATTATGGACGAAGAGGAAGGAGGGGCACTCGTTTCTGGAGAGAATATATTCTGTTTTCAGGGTGCCTCCCTCTAGACGGCCATGGGACTTTCCTTAGAACAAGGAGCCTTCAAAGGTGGTTCTGTAGGGCTTCCGAGTTGAGCCCCTTCATCACTTCAAGCTGAGCAAGCTCTGAGTGTGGCCTCCACCGCTCACCCAGGGCTGAAGGGACTTTTCCGCTCTGGGAATGGTCACACGGCAACCACCAGCCCTGGGATTGTTCTGCTCCAGCCTGGGATGCCTCCTGCTTAGAGCGGGGATCTGCGGAGGGAAACGGGGGCCCTGGCTGCCCGTGCCCCACCCCCACTCCCAACAGCAGCAGGCCCGGCGCAAGGGCCAAGAATGTGGTGGATGACCAGAGACAGGAGGCTTCAGCCAAGGCAAGAGCGAAGCCACCGCTGAAGTTGACAGCGTGGGTTCAAAATGGTCCACAGCGTCCTGGGAGCTTCTGTTCTTCTCGGGGCGACTCTAATAGTATGTTTTTACCCAAACTGTTATATTTGTAAATGTTTAGTGAGGACATTTCTAAATGAGAGAAGACCCGCTTCACAGTGTGTGGCCCTCTTTCTCTGTCGTGTGTAGGAGAGTGAGGGCCACCTGCAGCCCCAGTGTCAGGGGCCAGGCTGGATTCAGGACAGGAGGCTGGGGAGACCTCATGAGGGCAGTGTGCCCTGAGACCCCCTCAGCGCCTCTGCCCTTTGAAGACCCCAGCTCACGGTTCTGCCCCTTTGGCAGGACGCCCCCAGGCAGCATGAAGACAAGCCTGTGGTGCTGACTCAGGGCCTGGGCTACAGCCGGGTCAAATGCCTGCTTTATTCAGACAGGAACTGCCGAGCAGGGCTCCGCCCCAGCCTTACACAGTGAGAAGGCCACCCGAGCAAGGCAGGAATCTACAAATTAACGTGTGGATCCAGACAGCCACGGAAGATCAGGCTCAATCAGCTTAAGGCAAACACTGGCCAAGGGAGAGAACAGAAGAGGGGACAGGAAAGAAAGAAACCGCTGGCGGCTTGAGCCCTTGGGGGCTTAGCGGAAGTAGTTGGGACATTCATGGGCAACCAGGTGCCACGCATCATCAAAGGCCTGCACGACGGCCGGCTCCAGGGGCCCCTCCTCAGCCGCTGCCAAGTTCTGTGCCAGCTGCTCCAGGTTGGTCATACCCAGTATGACAGCGTCCCCGAGGGCACCCTGAAAGGGGAGACGGCCAGGTGTTAGGAGACTAATGCACAGGGACTCCCATCACACACACTCCCTCCCAGCCTCGCCCCTGCCAAAGGTGGTATCTGATGTCTGTTTATGCCCTCTATTGTTCCAGAAAGAACTTATATTGCCCTCAGACAGCTCTAAACCGTGCCACCACAGTCTCATCAGCAGACAGACCTGAGTTAGAGCCACTCACCTCAGCCACTTGGCAGCTGGGTAGACGTGGCTTGCTTACTTGAGCTCTCTGAGCTTCAGACTTCTTTACTGTGCAGGGTGATTCCAGGAATTAGAATTTGGTGAAGTCCTTTGGTCAGGCCTGGCACTTAACAGGTGCTCAACAAAGGGGAGCCATTGGTATACGATGCCCGGGCCAGACGAAGGGGTCAGGGAACGATGGGGCAGCAGGGAGAGGGGGCATCCCCACCAGGGGCACAGAGTGGATGGCCAGGGACGGAACTAATGCCAGGGGACAACAGCATGCAGGGTTCAGAGTCACAGCTGTGCTCGCGCCCTGCAACAGGCAGCCGAGGGACTTGGCTAACGGAAGAAGTGTCTGTGAGCGAGTGGCCTCAAATGTAGAAGTGGGATAACCACACTTAATAGGAGCAAGAATGTGTCTAATGTGGCACTTAAGAAACTTCTCTAGGAACAGGATTTCCACCCAGAGACCTATGCCATGGGGAAAGTGCAGAGGAGGAAAAGGAGTAATCTCAGAAGTCCCCCAATAATTAGGAGCCTCTCCTTGCTTCCAGTCCCCCTCCACCCTCCAAAAGGGAACGGCGGGAGCCGAGCCTGCAGGGACAATGGGCTTACCTGGAGCTGGGAGTGGTGGTACATCCACCTGAGGACGGCCGAGGTCATGCTGGGGGCGCTGGGTCCATAAGCAGCCTGCAGGGCCTTCTCCATCATGGCGATGGCCTGGAAGTGGGGTTCCTTCCAGTAGCTGCGTAGATGGGGAGGGGGACACGGGTCAGTACCATGGGGCCAGTCCAGAGAGCCGCCCCAGCCCAGTGCCTGGGGCACTGAGGGGCCAGCGTCTCCTCGTGGAGGTATCACTGCCTTGCTTGGCAGAATGCAGGTGGCTTTCTGGGCCCTTCATCAGGCTGTTGTTTTGCAGTCCGGTGTTGGGAGTGGAGGTGATGCCGTGGGCAAGAACCCTTACACTTATCGTGCTCACCAGATGTGAACAACGGGACTCCTGAATCAGGACCCAGGAGCAGCTACAGCACCACATCTGTGAGCCCCGGTCACAGACTGGACCCTCGACCAGTCCTGGCTCTGGCCTCGGCTGAGCCACCTGCCTTCACTTTCTGACCTGCTCAGTGAGGAAAGGACACATGCCATGCCAGCCCCAGAAACTGAATGCGACTCATAGAGGAGATAATGGACCTGATGATGCTTTATAAACTGACGAGCAGACAAGGTGGAAACCATCAGCCTGGATCCCCCAGGGTGAGGTCCAGGCCCTGGTGGTGTGAAAGCCCCTGGAGAAACACTGCTTACAGTGACGGACCCTAAACCTGGCCGCTGTTCCCAGAAACTCTTGGGGGATGCGGGGGCTGGATGAGGATTTAAATCACAGCTGTGCACACACAGAGACTCCAAATATCACAAACTCCGCCGCTTCAAAAGCCCGAGGCCATATCCACAAACTCGCATCGAGCCTCTTGCAGGAAGCCTGGTTTGTTGCTCTCCTCCATTAGAGAGAAGATGCCAGAGGGAAGAAAGCTGTAAGAATCTAGAATCGTCCCGCCAAGCGCCGTGTGGAAAGGGGGCTATTCCCTGGGAACAAGCACTGTGTTACTTTGATAAACTTTTCAGAATTTAGAAAGTGAAAAAGGAGGAACGCTGTTTCCAGGGCAGCTCGCCTATCCCTTTCGACACTGAGGACAATTTTATTGCCAAGAGTTTACAAAACTTAGACTCCTTGGCCCAAGGAGACAGGGCCACCTAGTCGTGGGGCAGCAGCATGACCCAGGGTTCCCAGGTTCCAATCCAAGGTCCCCTCCCGCTGTGGGCAGGGGGAGTCTTCCCAGGGAGAGACACAGGCTTGCAGACCTGGCACAAGGCCCAGGGTTCCACATTCCCAATCAAGGCCCCTAATCCCTCCCAGAGACATAAGGAATATTCAGGGAGGGGAAGGGGCGGGGTCAAATGGGTGGGACTGCAGGGTCCTCAGTCTGAGCAGCAGTGGGAGTCCTCGCCCCAAGAAAGCAGCCCCAGGGACTCCCTATGTCATGCTAAGGGGACCCAGGTTACCTCCTGCACTGACGCAGACCCCCATCTCACCGATTCCTGTAGATCTCTGCCCAGTTATTCCCAAAGAAGCGGCCCGCAGGCTGTTTCCCGTCCTTGTCCTCATACTTGTACTTGCCGGTCAGCAGGCCCCCTGCGGAAAGGCTGCAATCAGACCCGCTGGCCCGCACTGCGCCCAGAGGCTGCTCTGGACTGGGGGGGATGGTGGGGGACCCTGGAGGGATGGAGGACAGCCCAGCCTCTGGTCACACCTCTCCCTCCTTCCCAGGTCCTGGACCTGGATTTCCGGTCAGGAGTAGGCAGACACAGGACAGGACCAGGAACGCCCTCCCCCAGGGGAGCCCGCCCCACTGCAGCCCGTACCAGCCAGAGGGTTGTAGGCGTAGAACCTCAGTCCAAAGTGCCTCAGGCAGGGGAAGAGTTCCTTTTCCGCCTGCCGGGTGATGACGTTGTACATGCCCTGCAGGTAGATGGACCAGCTGGAGTGGGTGCGGGTCCCAAGGGAAGGGACCCCAAATTGCCCCTTGGAGAACCCTCTGATCAGACCCTAAAAATCCCAGGATGTTGACAATCAGGGCACATACTTAGTGATGGGGAGGGGTCGTGCCCATGGAAAATTCATTCATTCAGCCAACATTTCTGAGCACCGATGACGGGCTGGACATGGGACTTCCATCCAGGAGCCAAAAGGACAAGGCCCCTACGCTGAGGATTTAATAGCAAGGTACAGTGTAGATAGGGATCCCCAAGAACAGAGGCAATGACGACACACTGCTAGGTTCTGTGACGAGTGCCTGGCTCCAAGCAGCTGCAGGAACGTGTGCTGAACGAATGAGCAGGAGACAAGCAGAGCCTGAGATGTCAGGCTCCAGTGCGGTGGGGGAAGGCTTCGAGAGGGAAAGGCATCCAGTGAGCCTGAGCACTTCTGCCAGGGGACGAGGGGGCAATGCTCCAGGCTGAGGTGCAGGGTGAGGAAGCAGGAGAGACACACAAGGGGCCCATGCAGGCGGGAAGGGGAGCTCATGCCGGAGCAAGCAGGTGCCTGCTGGCCAGGCTGAGGAGCTTGCACATGATCCCGGGGCCACCTGGGAGCCACCTGCAGGCTGTGAGTAGGGGAGGGGCTGCCATGTGGATGGCACAGGGGAACTCGGAGGGGTGCAGGGACCCCAGGATGAGCAGGCGCCCTGAGACGGAGGCCTCCGCAGCCCGGCCCTCACCTGGTACACGGTGGGCATGATCCAGCCGTTGCTCTTGCAGAGGGTGCAGATCTCAGCCACCTCCCAGGCGGCATAGTTGGAGAGGCCCAGCTCCACAAACTTGCCCTGCCAGGGAGAGACGGCCGTTACATCCCACAGCAGCCCAGGAGAGCTGCAAGGGAGACCGGGGTGGGACCTCGTGAAAGGGTCTGTCCCCAGCTTCACTCTCCTGGGTAGTGACAGGGCAAGGAGAGCAGCAGAGCTCCTCCGAAGCTCAGGGGGCCGCCCTCACCTCCTGGTGCAGCTGGTGGCAGGCACGCAGCGTCTCCTCCACGGGGGTGCTGTGGTCCGGCAGGTGCAGGTAGAAGAGGTCCACCCGGGGACACTGCAGCCGCTTCAATGACGTCTCCAGCTGGAACCGGACACAGTCAGGCTTCAGGGTATTTTCACCCAGTGGATTGGCCTTGGTGGCGATTTTCACTTTGGGAGGAGAGAGATGGAAGTTGAGGCCAGTTTACCAAACACTGCGAAGGGTCTAGTGTAATGGTTGAGACGGACCTGGGTTCACGTCCCAGCTCTGCCATTACTAGCGCTGTGAACTTGACCAAGTTACTTCACCTCTCTGAGCCTCAATACCCTCAACTGTAAATTGAGGGACAATTGTACTATTTCATAGAGAGGTCCCGATGATTGATGAGAATGCGGAAGGACGTGCTCATTATTATAACGTGCTAACAGTATCACTGCCACCAGGCAGATGGACGCACCAGACCTACAGGAACCCAGCGCTGGGTCCCTGCCCTCGAGGACTCACTGTCTAAGGGCACCTACACAGTAAGCGAGGCAGAGATACACCCGAGGGGGCAGAGGCGCCAAGACCAGAGTCGTGAGGCCCGCCGGGAGTTCAGGGACGACTTTCCTTAGAACCGGAGTCTGAGTCTCCCAGGGGAAGTCAGAGGCCTCCCCGGAGGCAAGGATTTGGCTTGTGAGGAGCCAGGCCTGAGACTCCATGGATCTAGCACACCTGGTCCAGGGGGACGCCAGGCAACAGAAGGGGCCAGCCGGGTGCAAGGGTCTTGAGGGCACCCCGGGGAATCGGGACTTTAGGGGGCCATGGGGAGCCTCTGAGCTCTTTTCAGCCAGGGAGCTAAGTGGTCAGCTCAGCACTTTTGAAAGATGACCCTGAACGAAGCCCAAAGAAGCCCAGGGCAGGTCTGGAATCGGGCAGAGCAGCAGGGAGAGCCTGCGCAGGAACTCAGGAAGACGTGCAAGAGGCCTCCTCTCAGGACCAGAGAAGGAAAGGCAGGGATGCGTTAGAGCAATGTCCCACAGAGAAAAGGCCTGGGTTCTGCCACCTATGGGAGTCGGGGACTAAGCACTCTTCTCCATGCCCCCCAGCGAGGTGATGCCACTGGTGGGTGACAGGGGCCCTCCCTGCCCTTTTCATGCTCAGAAAGTCAGCTCGCAGGCCAAAGGGCAGGCAGTCGACTCCTGGACACAGGGGAGGGCGCAGGCTGAGGACCACTCACTTGCAAGTTTTCCATCCCACCACCTCCTCAGCCTGGGCCCCCAGCCCTTCTGATGTGAATCGAACCTGAGGTTTAAGGATCCGGGCCCAGCCAGCTGAGGCCTGAAGGAGGGTTGCAGAAGAAAAAATAAGCAGAAAGAAGATCAGAGTTGTCACGGAGAGGCAAGCAGGTGATCTAGAAAGAGTGAGACACCGAGAGGCATGCACATTCCCGTTTCGTTCCCGATGTGCCATGCTGTGAGTCACAGGACAAACCGAGCAGGACTCTCCCAGGAGAAAGGGCCAAGAGCCTCTGAGAGCACTGGCCAGGGCGCTAATCCACACTAATAACAGCCGTAACAGTAACACTGCTGAGCCCGCCCCAGGCACAGGTCCAGTCCTGAGCAGTTCAAGTGGCCAAGAATGGAGGAGGCACATTCCCCTCCCCGACACACCATCCCCAATTAGCTACACCCACCTGCTCCAAAACCCTGGGCACTCACATCTCCCCGCCTTTGCACACCCACTGCCCACGCCCACAGGCAGGAATGCCCTCTCTCCTCTGACTCTTCCTGACAAACTCCTATCAGTTCTTCAAGGTCCAAGGTTCCCTGTTCTGAGCTTTCTTCCACAGCCCCTCCCAGGAAGTGCTCCCTCTGCCGGCATCCTCAGCCAGCTCCAGAATCTGGGCTTCCCGGATCCCGTTAGTGTCAATTTCCCTTTTACAGCCCCAGAGGGAGGCTGGCACAGAGAGGGCAGTTAGTCACCGTGCCACCCCCACTCCCCGATTCGCCAGGAGGAGGCACTGCCAACCGAAGCTCCACGGAGAAAAGTCTAGGCCCGAACGGTGCACCTGCGCGGCACGGGAAGGGGGCTGGGACTGCATAGCGCCAGACCCAAGGTTCGCAGTGCCCCCTAGAAGGGCTAGCCAAGTTGGTCCCAGCTAGACCACGGAGGGGACGCTGCTGCAGGGAGGCTCCTGGGCTGCCTTCTCCAAGGGAAAAGCGGAAAGGAATCAGGACAAAGGCCCGGCCGGCTGATCGGGTCTAAATGTGGACGAGGCCTGAGGAACTGGGGTTCACAGAGCTGCGGGGTGGCCAGGGGAGCATGGCGCCCTGGGAGGGGGCGAAGGGGTCGGTCCTGACCGCGGCAGGTGCACGGCTGGGGCCGGGTCAGCGCTGCACGGTGCGGGAGGAGGTCAGGGGCTGGGCGCTGGGACCAGGCCATACCTTTGCAGTCGCCGCCGCCCAGCCCGAGCCCCAGGCCGCCCAGGATGGTCTCGGACTGGCCGTCGGTGTAAATGAAGGCCGTGTCTATCTCGGTGTGGCCGCGCTCCAGGAAGGCGCGCACGGCCGCGGCGCTGGCGGGAGCGTCCAAGCCGGTCCCCATCCCCATAGCGCCCAGCACGGTGGCGGGCCGGACCCCGGCGCCCGCGGCGGCCCGCGGCGTAGACAGCAGCCGGGACATGGCGGCAGCAAGACACTCGGACAGCACGGGAGGCGGGGCAGCGGTCGGCGACAGGAGGCAGCACGGGAGCCGGGCTCTGCTTTAACAGACTGCGCCGGCCCCGCCCACGGGCGCTGGGGGCGGAGCGCGGGGAGAGGGGGCCGGAGGGAGTCGCGGAAATGTGCGCGGTCCCCACGCCCGCGGCTCCCACCCAGCCTCGAGGCCGGGGTGCGCTGCCGACGCGTAAGGGCCGGAGGGTTGTGGCCTCGGGCGGGTGACCTGGGACTTGGCCGCAGGGCCGGGATGGGTGAGCCTGTTCCGAGAGTTGCCAGTGCACCCATGGCTCAGGGCTGGGACTCCCGGGGACTCCCTGCCAGGTCTCCCCATCTCCCTTGGCTTGGCGCCTGAACTGTCCCGGGGTCCCTGTGCCCTCCGGGAGGGGGCTTTCCCCAGTGCTCCAGGTCCTGAAATGAGGCCTTGGCTCAGGAGTGGTGGCCCTGGAGGCTGTGCGGCTGCCGTGCGCTCCCAGAGGTCGGCTCTGTGCTGCTCTCGTTGGCACTTGCGGAAAGCTCCAGCCTGCATCCCTGTGCAAGGACATGTTACAGTGTTAGAGGAATAGAACTGTTAGCCTCTAATTCTGTGTCCAAGCGAAGACGCCTTTCAAACATGAGGGCTAAATGAAGACTATGTTCAGACAAACTAAAATGGACAGAATTCCCAGCAGCAGTCTTTCGCCATGGGAAATATTTGAAAAAGTTCTCTAGACCCTGGAAATTTGGATTTACACCGAGAAAGATGAAGAGTGCCGGGAATGGTAAATTTGTGGGTAAGTATAAAAATCCTCTTCTCATTTTTAACCTTTAAAAAGATCATTGAGTTTTTTAAAGTTAAACATACGCTACCAGATGACTCAGGGAAAACTGATGTTTACACAAAAATGTACACACGAGTCTTCATAGAGACTTTATTTGTAATTGCCGAAACCTGGAAACCACCCAAATGTCCCTCAACTGCAGAATGGATTCATATGTTGATTGTGGTGGTGATTACATCACTGTATACATTTGCCCAAACTTTCAGAACTGTACACTAAAAAAGGGCGAACTTACAGTATGCATATTATATATGAATACAAAAATTGAAAGCGAAAGTTATTTGTATAGAGAAAAAAATGGTGATTGTTGTTTATTATAAAAAGGCAGTTTGTAACAAAGATACAAGTAAAATATATGAAAACGTGCAGAAAGGAAATGGGGGGAAGAAATGGCAATATCTTGTTTTCAGGTTCCCATATTATATATGTACTGTTGTAGTACTATTTGAAGGTGAACTGTGAGAAGTTAAAAATGTAAATCATAAACCTTAAAACAACCACTGAAAAAATGAAACAAAGAGTTATGGCTAATAAGGCAACAGTAGAGTTTGGCTTTGGCGGCCTGGGATTTGCTGGTTCGCATCCCGGGTGTGGACATGGCACCGCTTGTCAAGCCATGCTGTCGCAGGCATCCACATATAAAGTAGAGGAAGATGGATGGATGTTAGCTCAGGGCCAGTCTTCCTCACCAAAAAGAGGAAGATTGGTGACAGATGTTAGCTCTGGGCTAACCTTCCTCAAAAAAAGAAAAATACTGAATTAAGCCAAAAGAAGGCAGATAAAGATGAAAAAAGGAAAAATGAACAGATAGAACAAATAGAAAACAAATAGCAAGATAGATTAAGCACAATAATATCAGTAATTACATTAAGTGTCAATGATATAAATGCTCCCAAGTAAAAGGCAGAGATTGTCAGATTGATAAAAAAGCAAAACCTAACTAGATGGTAAATGCTAGAAGCCCACTGAAATATAAACAGAGATAGGTTAAAAGTAAAAAAAAAAGGAAAAAGACCTACCTTGACAAAACAAAGTACAAGAAAGTTGGAGTGACTAGATGAATATCAAAGTAGATTTCAAAACAAAGAATACTATCAAAGACAAACAGGAAAATTTCATAACAACAAAAAGGTTACTACATCAAGAAGACATAACAATCCTCAAGGTGTATGTGCCTAATGATAGAGCATCAAAATACATGAAAAGAATTGATATAACTAAAGAAGAATTAAACAAATATGCAATTGTAGTTGGAGATTTCAACACTCCTCCCTCCGTACAGTCATGCGTTGCTTAATGAATGGGGTATGTTCTGAGAAATGCATCATTAGGCAATTTTGTCACTGTGCGAACATCATAGTGTGTGCTAACACAAACCTAGATGGAACAGTGTCCTACACACCTAGGCTGTACGGTACTAATCCTATGGGGTCACTGTCATATATGTGGACAGTCACTGACCGAAACATAATTATGTGGTGCATGATTATAACTGTAGAACAGTAGTTAATCATAATTGACAGAAACTCAGTAATGATATAGAAGACTTGAACAACTCTATTAATAAATTTAACATAATTAACATTAATAGAATACCCAACAACAGCAGAATATTCATTCTCTTCAAGTGCACATTTACCAAGATACACCGTATTTGGGGTCATAAAACAAGTCTTAATACATTTAAAAAGATTTGAGTCATACAAAGGATGTCTCCAACCATACTGGTATTAAACTAGAAACCAATAACAAAATGAGTGACTTCTGGAAAAATCTCCAAATATTTGGAAATTAAATAACACTTCTAAATAACCCATAGATCAAAGAAGTAATCGCAGGGGAAAGTTGAACATATTTTGAACTTAACGAAAGTGGAAATATGACATATCCACTTTTGTGAAATGCAGCTAAAGTAGTGCCAAGAGGGAAGTTTATAGCACTATGTGGACATATTATATAAGAAGAAATGTCTCAAATCAACGATCTAAGCTTCCGCTTTAAGAAACCAGAAAATGAATAGCCAATTGAACCGAAAATTAGAAGGAAGGAAATAATACAGATAAAAGCTAAAATAAATGAAATACAAAACAGAAAATCAATAAAACTAGAAGCAGGTTCTTTGAAAAGATCAATAAAACTGATAAACTTCTAGATAGACTGGTCAGGAATAAAAGCAAGAAGACACAAGTTATCTATTTCAGCAACAGTAGAAGAGACGTCACTACAAGTCTTACAGAAATGAAAATGATAATAAGACAATATTATGAATACCTCTATGTTAATAAATTTGATAAATTAGATGAAATGGAAAAATTCCTTGAAAGACACAAACTGCCAAAGCCCATTCAAAAAGAAGTAGATAATTTGAATCACATTGTATATATTAAAGACATTGAATTCTTAATTTATAAAGATATTCCCACAAGGAAAACCCTGCATCTACATGCCTTCATTAATGAACTCTACCAAACATTAAAGGAAGAAAAAGTACCAGTTCTTACACAGATGTTTCTACTAAACAGAAGAGGAGGGATTGCTTCCCAACTCATTTTATGAGGCCAGCATCACCCAGATACAAAAAGAGACAAACAAAAGAAAACTACACTCCAATATCCCTCATGAACCTAGACACAAAACTCCTTTAGCAAATGAACACAGTCAGATATAAAAAGATACATCAGGGGCTGGCCCCGTGGCCGAGTAGTAAAGTTCCCGTGCTCTGCTGCAGGCGGCCCAGTGTTTTGTTGGTTCGAATCCTGGGCGCAGACATGGCACTGCTCATCAAACCACGCTGAGGAGTGTCCCACATGCCACAACTAGAAGGACCCACAACGAAGAATATACAACTATGTACCGGGGGGCTTTGGGGAGAAAAAGGAAACAATAAAATCTTAAAAAAAAAAAAGATACATCAGGATTCAGTGAGATTCATCCCAGGAATGCAAGGTTGGCTTAATATTTGAAAGTCAGTCAATACAATTGACTGTACTAAGGAGAAAAATAAAGTCCATATGATCATCTCAATAAATGCAGAAAAAGCATTTCACAAAATTCAATACCCATTCATGAAGAGAAAAAAAAAAAACTTCCTAGCAAACGAGGAAGAGGAAGAAATTTCCTCAAACTGATAAAGAGCATACAGGAAAAGTCTATAGCTAACATTACACTTAGAAGTGAAAATCAGAAAGCTTTCCCCCAAGATTGGGAACCAGGCAATGATGTCTGCTCTCACCACTTTTATTCAACATTGTACTGGAGATACTGGTTATCCTGACATATTTCAGTGTGCGTGAGTAATAATGATAGACAGTTTCCTGCGTAACTACAAGGCCTTTGCCACCCTAACAAAATTAACAACTCTTTGGTGTCACCTAATACGACATCCATATTCAAAGATCCTTGATTGTTTTAAAAATGAGCAGTTCAATTGGTTTGAATTCGATCCAACAATGATTACACATTGCATTTGGTGGTTATATTTCTTAAGTCTCATTAAACTTCAGCAGTGCCACTCGTCTCCCCATCCCTTTTTTGTGCATTTACTTGTGGAAGAGACCCCTCAGTTGGGCTATAGTATGTCCCACATTCCGTTTGCACAGTCACAGTTTCAGTCAACTTGTTTGTCTATCCCGTCATAATTCTTGTCAAATGGAAGTTAATGCTAAAGGCTAGATCACACTCTAGTTAAGCTTCTTTCCCTTTTTCTTTTTCCTGAGGAAGATTCACCCCGAGCTAACCTCCATGCCAGTCTTCCTCTATTTTTTCGTATGTGGGCCAGCACACAGTGTGGCCACTAACAGAGCAGTGTAGGTCCATGGCCAGGAACCGAACCTGGCTCGCCAAAGTGGAGTGTGCTGAACTTAACCACTAGGCCAGCAGACTGGCCGCCTCCTTTCTCTTTTTCTTTTTTTCTTTTCTTTTCCCTTTTTTTGGGTAGGAATACTCCATCAGTGGTGCTATGTACTTCTTGAAGCATCACGTGCAGGAGGCAGGAATAGCATGGTTGACCCATTCCCAGTACCACTGAGATCAAGCAGTGACTTTATTTGGTAAACTGTAAAATTCCTCATCAACCTTTCATCTGTTGGTGATTTCTGCCAGAATCAAGCAAGAGAGAGTCTTTAAGTCTGAGATTATGTTGTGTGCCTCTCTAACCACAGGACTATAGATGAAGGTATAGAACCTCTTGGGGTACTTTTAAATAAGTAAAGTACAGGTGCTC